CGGTCAGAAATTCGGTCAATAAAGAGACGTGACGCATCGCGCCGAGTTCTTATTACTACGCGAGTACCGCTAAATGAGGTGGTGACTATAAGTGAATCATACTTGTGTATTGTGAAATTAAAAGAATATATATATATTTCCTAAAAGACTACATAAACGTGCTATTATTGTGAGACCACTCCCGAGTCCTTCGTGGATCCCGAACCGTGCCGTGGAGCGGCACAACAGTCCTTCGGCTTTAGATAGCAAATCTAAGCAATGTATTATTAATTAAAAGAAACGTATTTGTTAGTATACAACGCGTTATTTTGAGTAACAATAGTAATTTGTTATAATCAAATGATCAAAATCAGACGTGTGCAGGAATGGGTACATTGGTTCATATCATAAGAAAAGGTTAGGTTAACTCGCTGTATATTTAATTTATTGCAAAGAATAATTTACCTTGAAAAAAGAAATCTTCTGATAAAAAATGTTCAGAACAAACACGCATGCTTGCGGATGAACATTTTCCCATTTTTAAAGCAATTTCCCATTGTTTCTTGAGTTTCTTATCTTTTGGAAAGTGATGGAAACTAATCCCCTGTTTCTTATAGTTATGACATTGAGCCACAGAACAATATGTAGTATTTCTTTTTGATTTTATTTTATTACTTTCCATTATAGTACGTATATACGTTTTTTCAATGTGTCCGACTAGCAATGCTTCTATCCACCGCCACCAGGAGCGCCACAAATAAATCTTTGCATCGCCAATTGAGATCCGATAATCTCGGTCTGCCGCAACTCGTCGGTTCGCGTAAAGGAGGCACGGCCCGCACGGCAGTGTCGCTTCGCGCAGCTTAACGCCGAGACATTACCAGTGTCTCCAGATTTTTGTAGTACATAATAATATAATACCATGTCTCATAAAAGAGACGCTACAGTGTATCCTTTACAGGAATGAACTCGCTTATATAATTAAAAATTATTGTTTTGTTTAAACAAATTGATGTTTTTAAAAAATGCATATATTGGGGAAGAATAGATTTTTACAATTAAAATGAGATAATAATCATGTCCATAAGTGTACTTGATGCTTAGATATGAATATGTGCACGTATTTTTCAGAACAATTTATGTCATTTATTCATTCAGATACGTCGTCGTTGTCGTCGTCGTCGTCTTCGCAAAATTTTGTCCCCTTTTATTACACCTTTTTTTAATACTTTCTACACTTTTTTTGAATCTTTTTTACACCTCTTCTGCACTTTTTTAACACTTATTTTCTGCACTTTTTCTACATTTTTTCTACACCTTTTTTGCACTTTTTCCGCACCTCTCTTGCATCCTTCCGGTATCTCTTCCTCATCCTTCATCTACCTTTTCTGCACTTTTTCTACAACAGTACCACGTCTCTCTCACACCTCTCTCGTATTAATTTCGCATTTCTTCTGCACTTCTCCGCATCTGAGTCTTACCGTTTTCGCAACTCCTTTGCACCTTTTCCGCATCTTTTCTGAACTTTTACTGCACCTCTTCTACACTTTTTCCGCATCTCTCTCGCATCCTTCTGGCATCTCTTCCATATCTTCCATGTACCTTTTCTGCACTATTTGTACAACAACAGTACCACATCTCTCTCACACCTCTCCCGTATTAATTTCGCATTTCTTCTGCACCTCTCCGCATCTGAATCTTACCGTTTCTGCAACTCTTTTCCGCATCTTTTCCGTACTACTCCTACATTTCTTTTACATCTCTTCCGCATTTGTTCTGCACTTCTTCGTATCGTTTCTGCATATATTTCCTAATTCTTCTACATTTCATCTGTCTATATACATTATTTTATTTATTTACATATTTACTTATATGTTTATATTATCTATTCACCTATCGATATTATCTTCCAATGTTTCACGTATTCACCTATTTATGTTTTTATTTGGCTATTTATGATATTTATCACCTGTCTACGTTATCTATCTATTCGTCTATGTTATCTATTTACTTCCCGGTAAAAAATTGTTTAAACATTAATATGTATAAATATATGTATAAACATATATAAACACGCATAAATATTCATAATCATAAATAATTATACATAAAATAAGTCCATACATCTTTCTTTTGTAAAATTACTTTTTAGTCAATTTTAGTGTACTAAAAATAATAATAATATTGAGAGAGAAAACATGAAAAATAGTTAATGGAACTATTTTTGCATTGTTTGCTTTAGAAAAAATCAAGTTTGGAAAAATGTAAAAAAAATTATTATATATAATTTTACATGCAACTATATATGAGCAATTCTTTTACATTTTTCAAAAATTCTCATTATTATTATTTTTAGTATACTAAAAAGTAATTTTACCAACTAAAAAAGAATGTATAAACATGTATGGACATATCTCATACAAAATTATATATGTTTATGAATATGGTATTTACGTTCGAATAAGAGCATGCATGAGTAAATTGATAAAGATTGATTAATATGAAGAGATTAGGCAGAACGAAATTATAAGCTGATAGTTTTTAATTAAACTAGAAAATGATAATGAAATAACGATTTATTTCAAACAAAATTCATTTATTTATAATTTAATGTTTAACAAAAGGGGATTGTACGAAAACGAAATTATATACTGGTATTTGTTAACTAAGCTAGAAAATGATAATCAACTGGAAGACATTAAAAATGTAAAAAAGGCATCAAGTATATTTTGCAATATCTTTACATAATCAAACAATTTTATAAATATATGAAAATGTGTGATAACGAAAATAATACTTAGCAAAAATTCGTGAAATCTATCGGAAAAGACATTAAAAATGTAAAAAAAGGACGTCAAGTATATTTTGCAGAAAAAAGATACCAAAAATAATGCCATAAAAAAAGAAGTGAAATCAAAAAGCTGGTTGATGTTTGGAACGTTCTTGGAGTGATTTTTTCAAAATGGTTTGGTCCATTTCTCCTCTTGCACACAGCTACATCTTCATGCCAGACAACAAATAAAGAATACCCCCGACCGAATACATGCGTCGAAAGACACCCTTAATGGCGAAAAACTACCCTGGAAAAACTTAAAAAAATTCTTTCAAAGCCAAAAATGATTTGTCCCATTTCTCCTTTTGCTCAAAGCTACATCTTCATGCCAGACAACAAACGTGAACGTCTCTGAAAGGGGATGTTAACATGTTAGGATCCGGAACGAAGTGGATCGGTCGGTTGATCATAATTCGGTTAAATAAAGGGAACTACGGCTGCGCCGGCCACCAAGGTACATCAACCACTCCCTCGGCCCTATCGGAGATAATCTTCCGTAAGACTTTTAGAATTAATATGAACGGCGGGAAAGCGTAAAAGAAAAGATTACTCCAATTCAGAGAAAATGCCTCTGCGAGAGGGTCTGGAAGCCAGGAAACGAACCGACGGCATTTGTTGTTAATAGCCGAAGCGAAGAGGTCAATGTCGAACTGACCGAAACGACGTATTATTGCATCAAAGTAATCTCTTCTTACCATTCCGTTTCCTCTGAAACCATTCGAGATTCAGTGTCTGCTTCGAAGTTTTGAGCTGAGGGAATATAGGACGCATAAATGAAGATGTCACGTTCAGCGCATCAGTTCCAGATTTCTCGAGCTAGACTTGATAATCGGGGAAATTTTATTGAGCCCATGCGATTAATATAGGACATGGTAATTGAGTTGT